TTGAGTTGTGCACCGCAGAGATAGAGAGGTGGACACAAGAGCTAGGCAAACCGGTCTTGCTGGAAGAGGTAAGATGTGCCTTCATACGTAGACTGCGCAACAAGACGCTGACCGCCGCAGCTTAATTGATGTTTCAGTTCGGCATGCCCCGAGACAATTGGCTCAATGCTGAACAATCGTATTTGGTGCGTCGATTGGAAAAGTGGCTTTCGCCCCAGTGCCGGTGCTCATGCGCCTAGCTGAAATCCTGTCTGCTTCAGTACTCGAGCAACACCAGCACCTCTTCGCGAGACCGGTAAGTGCCTTTCAGAAGAGCCAAACTGCCACAACTCCTGCGAATGTGGGCGACCCGCACAACCAACATTCACATTTCGCTCTCGCTGCAATTCTTACGCTTCCCCCCCCAACAGACTTTTCGAGCAAGTTTTGATCCAGATTTTGGACTCGTTCGAGCATCGCAAAGGATGGATAGGCGCCATACCCTGGGCATACGCGGGTGCGTACAGACCTGAAAGACAGAATTTGAACAAGTACGGCATGCTTTGGGCTGGCGATCCTCCGCACGAAGGTGAGAGCGCCACTGTTCCTCCCTTTTTCTTCCAGCGCGCGGACCGCGCTTGACATTGTGATTCTCTTATGATTGTCGATTGCCTCTGCGTGTGCGCAGCTCCTGGATGGTACAGCGTATACGACACGGACGAGGCAATGCGGCTCTTGAAGGAGCAGAGCAAATGGACAGCAACGTCGGCCTGAAGGCAGGCGTCTGTGATCATCAATTTGGCTTTGTCATTGGACATTTCCCAACCTCGTCCTCGCTCTGATCGTATCACCTCTCGAGGTGGTGCTGCGTGCCCTTTGTACTCTATGCTCTAATTTGTGCAACAGCATGTTTCTTGAAAGACGTGAGAGTTTCTCGGTCGCACCTGATATTGTTACATTTACATCTCATCGCCTTCGAAGCTGTTTCTTGCAAAAATCTCAGCCTCGCTCTGACGCAGCGCGAACAAGGTAACCATTCTTCCCGCTCACGGTCAGAATATCTTGCTAAACATTTTGGAGACGACACTCCTAGCGTACGGGATATAAGATAATCTGCGAAGCGATTCACGCATGCAGGATGGAAAGATGAGTGCCGTGAGAGTCAGCTACGGATGCAGAGCAAAGGGCGAAGAGAAGCTCGACAGCCAGGCAAGAACGCACGAGTACCAAATGTACGCTAGGTAGAGAATCACGACGAAGATCAGAGCCAAAGCGTTGATCCCAATGGCAAAAGCTGCAACCCTGGCAATGTTGGGCATTTGGAGAGGCGTGCTGGTCAGCATCTCGCATCCGAGACGACTCGACGTGACAAAGGGACCTCGCTCACCAGACCATGACAAAGGCGGCAAACAGAATCAAGGTTGCGACGATCCGAACTGGCTCAAACATCGCTTTCAGCTGCCTTTTGAACTGGAGGCGGCAGTGCATGGACATCAAGACGATCAGCGCTGCGTGACCTTTAACACTGCTTGGAGTTTTGGGGGTCTGTCAAGTCGCGAGGATGACACTCACTCCGACCAAAAAGCCTGTACCAACTAACGAGACTATGACGCCGATCGAATACAGAATCGCAAAGAGGGCAATTGCTCCAATGAACAACATCACGCTGCCTACGATGGACAAGGCAAAGCCTCCCACCAAACTGAAATTGTATACGGAGTCAGCAAATGTGGTCAGCAGCGTTCCATTCAGGCGCATTTGTGGGACGGACGGGGTGATCTCGCCATCTGCCTGGCCGTATGCGACACAAGGCATCTCTCCGCTCCGCATTGATTTGGCGGTGTAGCAGCTGCGCGCACAGAGATGTCCAGCCCAACGCATCTTCTCGCAATACGGGTGTCGTCAGAGGAACGATCTCATTCCATATAATCGTACGCCGGGCAAATTTGGCCTTCGACTGCCCACTCCACGTGCGCCGCAGAAGCTGATCACTCTCTTGCCTCCAGCTTCCTCTGTCGCCTAGTAGCAGCAAGTACCACACCCACTAAGCCCTCCTGACGCTTTCGCGCCTCCAAGCACTCACCAGCCCACAAAACCCATGATCCTCTGTTGCCGTGTGAGTTCCAAGCCCAATCCTTTGAACGCATCATTCTCGCCAGTAAGTTCTCCCTGAGCATACCGCATGTTGTCCATGTTCATCCAATTGCCTGATCCGCCCCCCAACGTGCTAGGCTGAGTGGACGGGGGCGGATTGGATCCGCTTCCGGGTAACCATGATGGCATGTTTGACAAAGGTCTTGCAGTCCCGCTGATTGCCCGAATTCGTGCGTGAGATGAGCTAAGGAGTCGTCCGGTGCCCAAGAGGCAGTGCCACGCCTTGACCCGATCCACCTAGGCTGACTCTCGAAGCCTTCTGAATGCGCTCCTGCTGGAGCTGAGACGTAGGAGCGAGAAGTTGCTTACGTTGTTGGGACCCCTCTGGACTGTAGACGTTTGCAGTAGACTTTGGTCGTCTGACGTGCTGGCGGTCTGGTTACGCGCAGCTACAAGGTGTTTGAGAGAGGTCGCTGGACTTGTTTGAGGAGGAGGTGTGAGAGATGCAGAGACCACAGTTGAGTCGGGAATCAAGGGGCTGGAGAAGTAATAAGCTGCGCATACAACGTACGTACGTGCGTGCTCAGATTCGTGATTTCATGCAGCTCGCTATAGAGTCACAGTCATGAGTCACGATTCAACTTTCTGCTGGATGTCAATCAATCAACATGCTCCGAGACTCACGACTGCCTCCCATGCGCATCCTGAGCCTGCGTTGATGGCAACATGCACGCCGCCTTGGCGCTGCTTGCCTGGGCGGACGGCGTTCTCGGCCGACAGGAGCTAGGGCTGGGTCGGCGGCGCTTGACGCGTAAAGTGGATTTCCTCGCGCGTCGACGCATCTACAATAGCTATCTTGTATTATTACAAGTACATGTGCGACGTTTGCTCGTTGCAGCAGAGCATGCAATGATTTTGATTCTTTGATTCACTCAAGACTCTTGACTGTTGTACCTGCTGCGCTTGTTTGGACCATTTCAAGAGACCTAATCAGGCTTACTTAGGCTAACCTAGGCTAACTGAGGCTTACTTAGGCTTACTTAGGCTAACTTAGGCTAACTTAGGCTTACTTAGGCTAACTCAGGCTTACGGAGGCTAACCTAGACCTAACTTAGGCTAACCTAGACCTAACTTAGGCTAACTTAGATCTAACTTAGGCTAACTTAGATCTAACTTAGGCTAACTTAGATCTAACTTAGGCTAACTTAGATCTACTTAGAGCTAGCTGCATTCCGCCTGTCTGCAGCATGCGGTAAGCACCTCGGCGTCAAGTTTTCCAAATGGGCGCGCTCGACGCGTCTGACAATCCGTGTTTCAGATCAAAATCTTAAATAGATCGTTTTTGGTCCTTTATACACTTGATTCGAGATTAGTCACGCGACGCGCTGCTTATTATCAAATAGGTATGCGAATCACACAATCTTGAATCTGAATGAACAATCATGAATCGCAGCACGACCTTCTCGACCACTCAAGACACGATGGACAGGTGAAGCGCCAAATCGCACCTGTCTTCAAGCCCTCTTCATCTGACTTTTCAGACCTTGCTGGTCGACATAGCCGCACTTGATTGCACTTGAGCAATCAGAGTCTAGATTTGTGGATTCGCAGGTCTCGATTTGGCAGGTGAGTGATGGCTCGTCGCGGCTCATCACTGCATGCCGACGTCTCATGCTCGGGAGCTTTCTTGAGCAAATTTCATTCGAGTCTAGGGGTAGGTGCTGATCCTGTTGTCCTAACTGTTCAGACTGAGATCGACCTGACCGACCTCGGATGCTCCCTTATACGACACCATTCCTTTCGTCCTTGACGAGCAGCATGGTAATATCAATACCTTGCTGAGCTTGCGCACACCTCTTTGCTCTTCGACATCGTGCACAAGCTCAACACTACATCAATATCTACAGAAATCGCCATTCCCAGCACCTGTCTCATCGCACCTGCTGCGCTCTGTCACCATGAGTGACGCGACTCAGGCTTCGCCAACACCCGCGACCGGTGCTCATTCAGGCGTAAATGGCGATGCTGCAGAAGCTGCTTCATCCACACGAAGAGCAGAGGACGAAGCTCAAGCGCGCAGCCTCATGGGAAAGGTCATTGAGCGCCAAAAGGATCATTCGCCCTACTCCGAGCTCATACCATTGGCCTTGGCAATGACAGGCCAACAAGAGCATCCACTTTGCGGCAGGGACAACCCAGAACGAGAGACGCGGGAGGAGATGGAAGCGTCCAAGGAGCTTTCGTTGGAACTGCATGCGTGTATGCTAAGAGTTCGAGCTTTCAAGACCATACCTCAGGTGGATGAATGGCTTAGCAGAATGGCGCGAGCCATCTTCTCGTGCCGGGACTGCATGGACGTCTATATCATTGCCAAGGATCTGGCAAGAACGAAATACTTGAGCGCCTACGCGCCAGGCTCCCTGACAAGGTTCTTTGCTGCTATAAAACAATGGGAAGTCAGTCGATCACTGGAGATCTTGGATGGCAAGGTCGTAAAGCCAAGCGGCGCCTCGATCGACAGCCTTACCGAAAGCGAGCTGTATGCGGTCGTTGGTACAATCATGCCCTGCATCGCCGATCCCATCGAAGAGCGGCCGATGGCAGCGGACGAGCTTCTTCAAACGGTCGGCAGCAACTTGACCAGCAATTTTGTGATGGGGCGCTGTTGCCCCGGTCTCCTTTCCCTGGCACTCATACCAGGCAAGGCCGAGACTAAAACAGAGAACAGCGACATGTCTCTCCGCGAATGGGCTCTCATGCAACTCTCCTCTACAGACATCCGACCGATCTCAGCCAAGGTATGCGTAACTCCAACTATGATCAGATTACGGGAGTTTACAGAAAAGTACGCAGGCAATGCTAGATCGGACTTGTTGTCAAAGTTCGCACCATCGATGTCCGACAGCGAGTCCTCTATCGTGCCCCAGGACGCATCCCCCTCGCCCATCACAACTGCAGATCAGGCTGCGTCATTGCTTTCCAAGCTTGGCGAAAGAGGCGGCGTGGCTCAAATCGAGCTGCTGCTGAATCAGCTCGGCCAAGTCTCCCGAGATGCCCCACACATTTGGAAAGAGCTCGGGACTAGGCAGCAGAGTGCACCAGGGAGCTCTAGCGCCTCGGACAAGTCTGGCGGCGGCAGAGCTTTGGTGGGGCTCGCTTCGCTCCTCGACAATCCAGACTTTTCCGATCTTTTTCAGAAAGTGGGGACAGGAGATGTCTATTCTCATCAATGGGCTAGCGATTTTCTGCTGTCCCTGCGAGGTCTGTCCAGCGATGCCCCTGGAATCGGTTTAGCCTTCGAAGATGCGCTTCGACGGCTCGTCAACTTTGCTCTAGAACGTCAACAAGCTGCTCACTCGAGTCACGATGCAAAATTGGCTGCCGCAAGTATGGGAGTCACCTTGTTGCAGATAGCTATGAACGCCGATTTGCCTCCGCGAGACTCGAGCGTCGACTTGGTGCACGCCAGGAACGACTCAGAGCCCCAAGAAGCTACTTTGCCACAGACTTTCACCAAAGAACCATGCCGAGATGCTGCTCTCAAGACCTG